TCATAGACTTCAAGCATGTTTCTGCTGACATGCTTTACCTGGAAATTTGCGGTAAGTATCTGCATAATCTCAAAAAAACTATACTTTGAGCTTGTCTGACGTTGTATGTCACTGACTTGGCTCCTGTCAGAATCAGATCGACCTTGTGACTGTAAGGCACCAGATACTATACTAGGCACAAGTCTTCCTGCAATTTCCTGCAATTGAGTGGCAGTTGTGTGGCCAGACTTGAACATATTGGTTTGGTATGGAGACACTGACAACCATGGCAATCAGTCCCATTATTGTCAATCCCAGGTACAAGGCTCCAAAGACACAAGATACTCTGCTTAAAACTGTGATCAGTCAGGAACCTGGTTATCTTTGGGGATTTGAAACTGTTAATTCCACAAACTATGACATTATGATGGCCCAAGCATTTGTTTGGATAAAGGTTTCCATTTTATAACTGATTTTAGTATCTCTTGCTGTCATATCAACACTTCTTCTCTAATTGTTATACTTTTTGAACACCCAGGAGCAGGAGCAACAAGGATGACTGAAACTTGAAGGGGTTGGCACAAGTTGTTGTATAAGGGTGACTCATTATGCAGTAAGATACTAGGGTAGCTCTTGTGACTAGGTAGTGAAATGAGTAGAGAATGAAGAGGTTGTTATTGCTAGCAAATCACTGTTTCCCCTTTTGTTGACATCAAAGTACAAGTATGGGCTCATCTGTTGTCACTATCAGATCGATAATAACAACAGGTGTCGTTGTAGATAGTGATGTACACATTTCTGAAGGATGTGGAACTTTGTACCAAGCGCAAGTTGCCCACTTATGCTTGACACCGTTGTTTACTGTGTATATGATATCGCTTATGCTTATTGTTGCCCAAGCATCACATGCCTAGTTCCAACTTGTCCAAGCACAATGTTATTGATGATTCACTACACTGCGCAGACCCCAGGTGCTCCTAAATACATCACTGTGAGGAGACAAAAGACTTACATGTCGGTCATTCAAGCTAATACTGAAGGCATGAGAGATATTGACTCCTGCCAAAGTCCAAGCTGTACAATGTATCACAAAGATTTTCCATGGCACTTGGATTTTGATATACACATGTGTTGTTTAACAGGTTCAATGCTGCTTTCCTGTAATTTCGCCTTAATGCAAATATAAAAAGGGGAAATTGAACAGAACCTTCTCAATGTGCAAAGGGAAGGATCTAGATGGCTGATTGGATTGCAAGGGAGGACATATGGCCCGTGGCAGTAGCCCGGTTTCTTCCAATGGACCATATCAATGCGTCTTGTCCATCACATTGTATGCCCATAATTGTTGTGAAGTAACAACTAGATCCACCAAGGTTGGTTACTTGATGTACCTAGGCAATAGTAATGGTGTGTTACTAGTGCTGATCTTGTCTTGCTATGAAGATGAATCAATGTTGCTTGCATAAAAGTAAAGTAGTACATGAGAGGGGAAAGAGAAATCAGACCCAAATGGCCTGCTATATATACTTTTCTGGGAAGGGGCAAAAGGCTGCGGTTTGCGGTCTTGCGGTCTTGCGGCCTTGCGGTCTTGCGGCCTTGCGGTCTTGCGGCCTTGCGGTCTTGCGGTCTTGCGGTCTTGCGGTCTTGCGGTCTGGCGGTCTGGCGGTCTGGCGGTCTGGCGGTCTGGCGGTCTGGCGGTCTGGCGGTCTGGCGGTCTGGCGGTCTGGCGGTCTGGCGGTTTGCGGTTTGCGGTTGTCAATTGCAAATTGCCCTTTTTGCTTCCTGCTGTTTACTTTGTGGTTGAGATTGCTTCCATGTGCTGATGTCCAATCATCACATGCCTATTTCCAACAATAATGGTGTTATGGCTGTACGTGGAGCATACCTGAATTGGTCAGGACCACTGTACCTTGGTTTAATATACATCATTACTGCTATTTCTATGCAGTGGCTGTGATGCTTCTGTATTTGTATTGAAAACAATATAGGCAAGCTAGTTTATACAATACCAGCAAAGCGTCAAGACCACCTAAGCGGTGCATAAAAAAATTTCTTCCAATGAATCCCTTCCCCTAGAATAGCGAAGGGAGGAACACAACCAACAATCAGCTTCAGCCATTACAGCTCAAATAACCATAAAGTGAATTCTGTTCAAAGTAATCTGCCTCAGTAGGGATAATGTTACTGCGATTGCTATTGCTGTTGCAGGTACTGGTGGCTGCCATAGTACTGTGATTGATGATGGTAACATGATTGTTTGGGTTTTGAGATCTGGGCAATATTGGTGATACGATGGTGGAGAGGCAAACGATGGCACTGATCAGTTTGTCAGGTCTACTGGCAAGATTGAGTGAGATCACACAGAACTAGAAGTTCTGAATAGGGTCATGCTTGTGATAGCAAATCTGTAATACATTGCACCAGCTAGACATTTCCTAATACTTGTATGCAGACAAACTGCACACATGGTCTTCCAGAAGTCTATCCAAGCAAGACAGACCGGACACTATTAACAGCACCATAGATGTGATTGGTACAGACGGGTGCAGCAGTGACACGCAGTCGAAGCAGAACAGAATTGTAAACAGGATGATGCTACATAACCACTGAGACATCGCGGATCACTTGTCTCAGAGTTGAAAGAAGCCAGTCTCCCAATACATAGTCCAATGAATTTGCAACATGCGGCGGCTTCTTATCGGGGTCAAAGTCATTAAACACGGCGCCAGATTCAAACAGAACATCACCCTGTTTGCCCAGAGATTGAGGTAACAAAAATTAACTTCCATGCATATTGTTTGAAGGAACCAGCTTTTACAGAATTGGGGGTTTGGGGCGATCAAAGGGCCTACAGGTATGTCGATCTCTTTGGTAATAATGATAGTGTCACCATCACTAACAAAACCTCATTGCAAAGTCTTTCTTGATAGGGTCCTCCTCGACAACAGAAGCAAGCCTATGGCTGATTTGAAGTATATAACATACATCAAGATTCTAGCCTACATTGGAGTTGCGGGAGGGATCTGTGATTGGCTTTTCGTATCAGGCAAATAGTGTATCGCATGACTGTATGCATTCAGACCACGCTTCAATGGATACTGCTCGTAATCTTGCCATGAGGAAGGCAATGTGAAGTAAGCCGACTCTTATGTGGGAGAGGAGCGAATCTCACAACTGAATTTACCGGATACGTCGCAGTTGTCTCAACACTGTCCTATTTGGTGATTCTTGATATCCTTTGCTTGTTATGCAACAAGGGTAGCTAGTCCTGTTGATGTTGAAGAGGTGAAGGTGGAAAGGGAAAGGGTGAAAGGGTTGAAGTGAAAGGTAAAGGTAGTCGGAATGAATCTAGTGATAAGAGGTCTGAGTCCTCATGAAAGAGAAAGGGGATGACCCATTCCTCCCTCTGGGGACTCCTATATATATGTACAATCTGAGGAAATAGCATGTACTAGAACATGTGACTGTAGTCGCAAATGTGTGACTGTAGTCGCAAATGTGTGACTGTAGACACGAATATGTGACTTTAGTCGCAATGATGCGTCTCAGGTCGCACAAACGTGACTGCAGACGCAGATGCGTGACTGTGGTCGCAACTTGTGTTTCTGGTCACAAGTTGCGATTACAGTCGCACCTTTACAGGCAAATCAATTGAAAGATGTACCAGGTTAGCAGGTCTGACAAGCCACAGCAACCTGGCCCATCAGATTGACCTATCGTCATCAAGATGGCACCGAGAGGAAAAGATTCCGCCGCTGCAGACAACAGAAGGTTAACACACCCAAGCTATAAGCTTAAGATGGAGTGAGTGCCAGAGCAAGCGCTAAAAAAAATCCTGGGAGAACCAGGAAAAGGTTCTACATCAAATCACGTAAAAAGGAATCATGATCAAGGTGAGTATCGTTTTGTGAGTGCTTGCAGGGGGCAATAACTGACACAAACATACAGGGCAGTTATTGGCCTGCCCTAGACCATAAATATGGCCATGCGTTGTATGGAAGGTATACAGAGGGTATAACCCCTGTAGAGACACAAAAAGGAACAACAGAGAGAGCTACACATAGTGCATAAGGAATGCTGAATAAAGGACAGTTCAGTCAAGGATAGTAGATCATATAGATTGGACCCAATGACTGGCAGAACTGATATTGAGCCATGTCTCAGTACAAGAGAGCGCTAGCAGAGCAGACACTTAAAGAAGAGCCTTGGAATGAGCTGGATTACGCAAATAGTATTGACAATGCACCTGCTGACAATAAATCAGTGCTGAGCGAGCGAGATTACGAGTGCGACAGCAAACACGGCAATGAGTGCTGCAAATGATGATGATCTACACAGGCCAGAGCATCTCAACGAACACCTCAATGTTGTTGGAAATAGGCATGTGATGATTGATTATCAGCACATGGAAGCAATCTCAACCACAAAGTCACAACAGGAATTTCAAAGACCGACTCAAGACGGTCCCCCACACACAAGTCTGCAAGCGTCAACTTGTCGTGTTAACACGTCAACAATACACAACATAACTCCTCATTGTAACGCCACATTGTGGACGCTCGTTAAGTATCCACATCGAGGATACACACCTGGGTACTTGCCCTCCCCCTTTCCTGCCTTGCAATGAGGCAACTCAATGCAACAGGACACAACTTGAAACCCTCTTTGTGGTGTGGCAAACTCTGTGACGTCCCTTTTACAGAAAGATATATATAGCAGGCCATTTTGGCCTGATTTCTCTTTCCCCCTCATGTACTTCTTTACTTTTATGCAAGCAACATTGATTCATCTTCACAACAAGATAAGATCAGCACTAGTACCACACCATTACTATTGCCTAGGTACATCAAGTAGCCAACCTTGGTGGATCTGGTTGTTTCTTCACAACAGATGTGATCCCGGCTTCATACTACGCCTGACTGACTCCTTGAGACCAGCAAATTCAATTCGATGCCAGCAGTCTCTTTGACGTCATGCTCCAGTTGCCATTTTGATTCACACCCGTTTCTTTGCGCGCAGGCCTAAGCAAACTCAAGTTTTCCAGTGCTCTGCTTGACGTCCTCCTTCTCTGCGGCCAGCGCTATCACAGGGAATGCCCCCACGCTTCACAGCGGAAATCACCATGCCTCGCTGACATGGAAAATTGCGAGGGCGGACACTGAGGCCATCATGGGCCAGTGCGCCGTGATATGTTTCGGCCGGGCTATGTGAATTATGATATCAACCAGTTACGCTCCTTCTCACATTACGATAGGCTTTGTACTACGTTCCGAAAAATCCTACAATTGAGCACCTTCGATCACCAAAGACTGAGCGAGGGCTGGATCTCTGTCCGGCGTTCCTGGTAGTAGCTTACAGTAACAGTCATCCCGTGGCAGCGGGATAAGGTAGAAAAAGTCACGATCTGGGCATAGCAGGATGTGCCAGCCGGATGCTACGAGAGCCGGTGGGCCAGTGGAAGTTTTGTTCAGGCGAGAGACGCCGTACGGCGAGTCGCTCATGAAAGATCACCAACATATTGGTGAATCTGGTCGTGCCAAAATGCGTGACATGTCTAAGTGAATGGCCATCTGATATGCTTATTTTGATGGACTGATGGGATCAGTTCATCAGTCGATCCATTGCAATGGCTCACGCAACAAGCGACAAAATGACGCACTCGGCTAAGCAAAGAATGATCCAACTTCCTCTACGTGAGACTAGACCGTCTCAGCTTTACTGCAAGATGCCACTGCAAACAGACGATTGGACATCATGGTAACACTCATATCGTACCCCAATTCACAGACTTAATGCTTACTGCAACTTCAATCCGTCAATGCTACTAGTCTGCCATCACCCTCACTAGATCAGTATGGGTTACTCACCGCTGCGGGACGAAGCGGGAAATTGGCGGTTTGGGTGCAAATTCCTTGGCAATGACGCGCTGCTTGGCCATGCAACTTACACCCTTTGATCCCAAGATGATGGCTTGACCGCCTGGCTCAATGTTGGTACGGGCGCCGGTGCGTGTTCTTGTCCTCACACAACAACATATTTAGTTGGAGATGAGCGGTTATCCCCTATTGCAACATGGCTAGTCAAACATCTGCCAAGAGACCGGGTGATAATACATGTCAAGCAACCTGTCGACCCTTGGACAATCCAAGCAAGCTGGGTCGCATTTGTATCTGCAAAAGAACAGCAGCCTGGAACGGTTCAAAAATACGCTGAGCCTCCACACATCGCTGTGGCCACCAGCCTGCCCAACAACTTGCAATCGCTAGCTTCGCTTGACGCGGAAAACAATAACATCATGATGACCGACCTTCATGATCTGGACTTTGCCGACCTTCACAATCTGGACTATGCCGACCTTCACAAGAAACATCAGCTTGAGGATATGACCAGATTGATCTAACTGAAATGAATCTATATTCTATCAGTGATATCAACAGGTGTCTACATCAGCCAAAAGAAGGCCTGTAAGACTATTTGAGCTTGTCATGAATCGTGAGCGCAGATCATGCCGGCTAGTAAGCTAGTAATAATGCTCTCAACCCCCTTCCGCAGAGTAGGCTCGAACGGCTTGCTTCTTGATGAGCAGTCCCTTGATCTGCTTGCACTGTTCCTTGAGTCACCAGTGTCGTTGTCCATCATTTGCACCACCATCTGCCTGTGCACCGCCAAGTACGAGGGACCGGCGAGCAACCTGGCCATCAAATATCAGTCCAGGGCTTGGGGCTCGCGGATACGGCTTCCTGATAACCTACTTGTTGATGATGGGGAGTACCGGGGCAAATGTCCTTGGCGTCCTGAAGAACAAAGATGGTCCCGCGGCCAGCGCTCGCCAACAAAGAGAGTCCAGCGGTGGACGACATTTCAGTACTCTCAAGCGGCAAGCGGATTGTTGAATCAATCCCGTTAACATACCCCAGTCAAGCCTACCGACACTGTAGCGATGTACAGGGATCTTGATCAACAAGAAGGTGGACGAGATACGTCAGCTTTGACCATAATCGTCAAGTTCTGAGAAGCCGTTCAACTCTCTCGATCAATCGAATGATGGGTGGCCGCATATCGGAATCGTGCTACCCCTCCGTGATGGAGTTCCCGCATCGTATTTGCCAGCGAAACACATTACAGCCCTGGTCCACAACATCGTCCGGAACCGCTCGAAACAAGGCCCAGTCTGTGTGCAGAACCTGTATCCAGGGTATCACACGATGATCGATTGCATGGTTACTCGCTACCGTCGGTACAGATGGTCGAGCTATGGAAATCGCTCAAACTGATCAAACAAATCGCCGTATCACCCGGATCTTCCGCGTTCCATACTCATCGAGCTGCAGCGCTGCAAGCTATAGCTCACAGAAAGGTCGATCGTTCAGCTTACACAGATTGGGCAGGATGGGACGACATGTATCATCGATACTTTCGAGACCGTATCCGCAAGCCTTCGTCGATGGGAGAGCTTAGCATAGCATAGCTGAACGACTTACAGGGAGGACCTATCGGTAGAATCGATGACCAACCCAGGAAGCCACTTAGCCGGTGACGGTAGTGGTATGACGCAGCGATGAACTCCTAACTCGCTGACCAACATAATCCTTTGACGGTCCGAATTTCGTGAGCAGTAGCTTGGGATGATCACCTTGTCGAGAGTCTTAACTTGCGAAGGAAAGCATTCCAAACATCCCACTCGGAAGTCGCGGAAAGGTCGAATGTCCGGGTTTCGCCGTTGTGATAATATGTCATATCACACGCAATGATGAGCGTGATCAGTGCTGTCTAGCTAACGTATGCAATAGCTAAGGCTACGAGATCGGATGCGATACCATGACCCCCAAGGCAAACATGCTCGGCGTGGCGGGAGGCGCTGGCTCAGATCGATCACGATATCACGAACCCAAGAGTGCCTGTAGAGTCTGATCTTTTGACCGCCCGACGGTGTAGCTAGTCGGAAGTCTCGCAGAGTGAGATCCGATAGGCGGCCCAATTTACATATCCCGCCGGCAACTGCCGCTGAAGAGACTAGTCGAGACTCTCGGCTGTGGCAAATACGTGTATAGCATGTCAACAACGGAATTGCACGACCGCGCCCAAAGATAGGATAAGAGTTGCGCGCCCCGTGTATGACCCAAGATAGACCGCTCGGCATGCCCAAGTTGGTTGTGATGGGTTGATCGATTGCGGCAATATCGCTCACGATAGTACGATAGGCAATCAATCTCCTCATGCTCGTCAGCGATTAGCGATAGCAGCGGTTTCAGCAATCTGGCAATCTGGCAAGGAGGTACGAGCACGAGAGAGATACGAAGATTGGGACTCGCGATCACAGGTTGGCCCTGGGACGAAGCGGGTGGTTTGGAGCGTGCGAGCGATCAGCGCTATCCTCGTCGTCGCAATCGAGAGAGAGAGTGGATCGAAGGTTCACCAGCGATCGTTCCTGGTGTTTGTGTAAGCGAGCGGCTAAGCGAGAGCCCGGGGCAGCGGTGTGGGGAAGGGACGACGAAACAGGGCAGGCAGACAGGGTCGCTACGGTGAATGGATCGAAATGATGAGCGGTTCCGAGCAAAGAAGGTTCCGTTCATCTTCTGGCCTCTTCCCTCTGTCTTCTGCCCCTCTGCCTCTCGCTTGTACGTCGCTTCTATCTCTGGGACCCACGCGGTTGCGCGTTGCTGCTTCTATTTCTAAAAAAAGCTCCCCTTTACCCTTGGTGCCCCTCTCGCGCGTGCTTTGTCCCAAACTCTAATGATCCCGAGATACCCTCCGTGGGAGAGTTCAGATAAGTGATCCCGCGAGATTGCGGGAAAGGGAGGATGAGAGGAAGGAGAGGGGGACGATTGCCGTCGAAAGGGGACAGGGAGACGAGAGAGAGATAGGGAGAGGGCAAGGTGGATAGCAAGAGGTAGGGGAGGGAGGCTGGCGGCTATGGACCTCGGACTCTCTGTCCAATACCCAAACGTATATATATATCGAGAGGAGAGCAGGGGGTTCGAGGGTTGCGACCGGACGAGGGAAGCAAGAGCCTTCTCAACAACATTCGCCTTTCCACCTTCCTTCTGGATACGTATTTCGAGATGGATAATAAAGACATCAAGGACCCCAACGCTTTTGACGATGTCCACGTCGGCAAGCCCGAATACGCAGACTATGGCGATGCGGCCGCTCAGGTCGAGACGTATTCCGGAGAGTACGTCGATGCCGGTCATACCGCGCTGAAACGTGGGCTCAAGCCGCGTGAGTAGAACCTCGTTCTGGAATGCCTTGTACGACTTGTGCTGAGACTGTCATTCCTGGCTGGTTTCTCTAGGTCACTTGGCGATGATCTCCATCGGAGGTGTTATCGGAACCGGTCTCTTCCTCGGTACCGCCAACGCCTTGAAGAACGGAGGACCTCTGGGTCTGCTGCTCGGTTATGCCGCCATGGGTACGTCTTTCTCCCTCGAGAAACTCGGGTCGCGATGATTACAAGAGACGCTAATCTGAACCTTCGCTGTGTCGATTCGCTTTCTCCAGGTTCCGTCTGCTACTCGGTCATGATCTCGCTCGGGAGCATGATCAGTTATCTCCCCATTCCCGGTGGTCACATTAGGGTGAGACTCGACTTTTCGCTAGTACATCGATCAAATCTGGCGGAGGGATTGCTTATGATACCTGCTCAAATTGTAGCTCGCCGATCGTTTTGTCGACCCCGCTTTCGGATTTGCTCTCGGATGGAACTAGTAAGCCCGATTTGACCACCTGGCTTGATCACGTCGATTCTCGACTGACCATGACGCACGCCCTCTTTGTAGCTGGTACAACTGGACTATCATCTTGCCCGCTGAATTGGCCGCCTCGGCCGTCCTTATCAACTACTGGATCGAACCTGCCAAAGTGAACAATGCCGCCTGGATCTCGATCTGTCTGGTCGTCGTATTCGCCATCAATTTCCTCGGATCGGGGTACGTCTTGCGTCTCGTTAGAAGCCACCTCGAGCCATGCTGATTTTGGAGAACGTGATCCCAAATCGCACAGCGTTTACGGCGAGACCGAGTTCTGGTTCTGCTCGATCAAGGTATTGACGATTGTCGGTCTCATCATCCTCGGAATCATCTTGACCGCCGGAGGTGGACCCGATGGCAAGGCCATCGGTTTCCAGTACTGGAAGAACCCTGGACCGTTCGTGCAATACCTCGGAATCGCCGGTAGCAAGGGTCGATTCCTCGGTTTCTGGGCTGTTCTTTCGTGAGTGCAGCGATAGTGTCGAGCGAAGCTAGAAGGACCAGCTTCTGATCGCGCGCTCGTCCACCCTGTACCCGCAGTCAAGCCGCCTTCTCCTACATCGGTACAGAAATTGTCGCCATCGCCGCCGGTGAGGCCAAGAACCCCCGTCGAAACCTGCCCAAAGCCATCAAGAGGGTCTAGTGAGTTTCAGGTCGCGCGTCCTTTCTCGCCGCCACGCAAACACGCGCTAAAAGCCTGGGTTTCATCCCCATGCAGCGTCCGAATCTTGATCTTCTACATCGGTGGTGTCTTGGTCATCGGTCTCCTCGTCCCTTCCAACCTCAAGGGTCTCGGTCTCGGAACCTCGAACGCCTCGGGCTCGCCCTTCGTCATCGCCATCAAGCGATCCGGTATCAAGGCCTTGCCCTCAATCATCAACGCCTGTCTCCTCACCTCGGCCTGGTCCGCGGCCTCGTCCGATCTCTACACCTCGTCCCGAGCTCTCTACGGATTGGCTTTGAACGGACAGGCGCCCAAGGTCTTTACTAAGACGACCAGGAACGGTGTTCCTTGGACCGCCCTTATGTTCAGCGGATCGTTCGGCGCCCTCGCCTACATGAGTTTGCAGAGCAACGCCGGTACCGTGTTCAACTACTTTGCCAGTCTAACCGCTGGTGCTGGTCTCTTGACCTGGTTGGGTATCTGTATCCTCTACATCCGATTCCAGTGAGTAGACGGTCGAGTCGAGTTGCAACCACTCCAAACCGTCGGACTGACGCACGACGTTTCCCATCGCAGCGCCGGAATGAAGGCTCAGGGCATCGACATGAGGACCTTGCCTTACCACTCCAAGTTGAACACTGGCGCCTTTGCCGCCAAGTACGCTGCCACCTTCATCTCGGTCATTCTGCTCTTCTTCGCCTGGAACGTCTTTGCGGACGTCAAGTCGGACAAGTTTGCCGCCGGACTCATCACCAACTACCTCCCTCAAGTCATGTTCCCCCTGATCTACTTTGCGTACAAATTGATCAAGAAGACCAGGATCATCGGGGTCGAGGAGATGGACTTTGTCTCTGGTATCGCCGAGATCGAGGCTGACGAGGAGGTTGAGTTGGAACCTGAGACCCGATGGAAGCGGTTCCTCAGCTGGCTCTTCTAGAGCGTTGGGAGTGGACGGATTCTAAGGGGGCAAAAATCGCGAATATACTCGCGACAAACATCATCTCTATACATTAGGAGGCTATGGCGGGACAAACGTTGTATCATATTAGTATTATCCACTTCGCATGAGCTAGTATAGCGAGATATCCAGAACTTGCAGCGCCTTCCACAACCGGGACTTCCAGCGCGTCGTTCGAAATTCAGAGCATTCGACGCTATTACACGAAATAAAATGTCACCTCGCCTCTGCCGGTTGCATTCCTCCTTACTGACGTTCTGTTCTGATGTGAAGAGAGCGGAGACTCGATCCATGCTTGATGTCAGGGTCAGTACATAAAGCTGCGCCCTGTTGCGTGTTGCACCCTTTCCGGGTCCCGAAACAACTCCACTTGGCTATCAGCCAGCTGATATCTGACTCCCAGCTTTGAGATTGCTATGAAGCCAGAATAGGCAATCACGAGAGCCTAGCGTTAGTAGCCATTACGAGGTCCGGACCGGGTTTCTTCGCAAGCTCTTGGTAATAAGAGGAAGTGCTAGAATACGGGACTCACCCTCGTAGAGACAGATCTTTGCGACAAGATGAAACACTAATATATATAAATCGTTTCAGCGTTCGACTGGAGGCGCTAGGCAAGGCGAATACTCCTGAAGACCGAGAAGAGTAGCTTGGACTGAGAGGTCGGACGAATTCGATCGGTGGAGTCCGCATCACGGGTGTTCCGATCCGAATGAGCGAGTCGAGTGCGGGTAGATCCCGTTCACACGGGTATGTCTGATGCCCTATGCAAGCTTGGCGATTACTGTGATCTCGCACTCGATAAGTAGCTGCGCCAGTCGCGAGAATACCGATCGGTTGCTCTACAGGTTGCTACGAGAAGAGCCGTAAGCTTTAGCTTTTGGAATCCATACACCATCGATGACATTGCAGCATCATGTCATCTGCTTCATTTCCGGACTCGTATTATTTACATGATCCGACCACGCCGAATCTCAGAAAGAGAAGTACGCGGACTAGCCTTCGTTTCTTTCTCTGCTTCGAGGCTCTTTCTTCCTTATCTGATACCATACGGTACTTCTGGACTTCAAGGACAACTGAAGTCGCCGGGAATATTCGCCTTCCGTCTGCCTAGACCTTGGTGATCAGCAACGTCGGGGTGCCGGAAGTCACGCCTTTGACGGAAATCTTGGCGCTCTGACCATCGCTACGCATCTGCCCAACCACGGCGCCGCCCAACGAGACGTTGTAATTGCCGACAGGCAGTCTTGCGACGGTGATCGTGGTGGAAGCGGCCTTGTCCGAGACCGGCGCCAGGACCATGCTGATCGATGTCGCGTCCTTTTTGACCACGGCGCTGTTGTAAACGACGTTTCCGATCCTGATGTCGAGGTTGCCCAGGTTCATCAAGACGAGACGCTGCCTCACGCCATCCTTGGGAATGACGCTATAGCTGTCGGCAGACTCGGTCAGGTCGGCGTTGTAAGCATAGTTGCCGACGATGGGGTCCGAGACGACGCTGGCCGAAGCGGATCGGAGACCTCCCCAGAGACCGAGGTCGACTTCGCCCGACCAGGCCCACCATCCGTTTCGGAGCGGAATCCAATCATAATTGGCTTGCGCTCCGCCCTCGGACGCAAACTGCCATGAGGCAGCGCCAAACGTGGCCGAGTCGCCGTTGATCTGACCCGAGTTGATGTTGTTCCATCCGGCCAAGTAGGCTCCATAAGTCTGATGGGTCATGTCGGGACGATCGCTCCCCATAGCGGTCGTGGAATCGAGCAAGTACTCTTGCTGTTGCCAAGCGCCCAACTGAGTCTCGTATCCCAAGTTCCACCAAGATTCACCCATGTGACGGTTATCGCCTCCGTAAAAGTACCACAGCGGTTGGAGACCCCGACAAGCGGCCGAGGCTTTTTGAACCTTGTCCTTGAGCCCCTGATCGCCGTACATCTTGGCAAGCGTGTAGACGGACTCAAAACCGGTCGTATCGATGCTCGCCTCGGACGCAAAGGGGTACTTTTCGGCAGAGAAATAGTTGAACTTGTTTCGCAGGAAACCGTCGAGACGAGTGGCCTGGGCGCCACGACCTTCCAAGTTGAGAGCGGCGAGAATATCCGGATAGGTCATCTCGCCCATCAGACCGAACTGAACGGCAGGATCCGGTCCGATCGGCGTGGGCAGCTTCACCTTGGAGAACATGGCGTTGAGGGTCTCGTAACAGAACGTGAGGTAGTCCCCCGGCGCATAGGCGTATGTCAGACCGGGAAAGTTCTTGGCGGTCCTGTACATGTTGAAATAGGTGTTGGCGATGTGTACATAGTTGTAGACCCTCCAGGTCCCCGTATCGGAGGGCACGCCGTCTTGACCATCGAACCAGCGGTACACTTCGTAGGACCGCGCGCCGTTGACCTGCTTGTTCTGCAAGTACTTTAAGAGAAAGTTGGTGATGTAATAGTCGACCGATGCGATCTCGGCTTGGACCGGCTTGATGGTCTGCTTTTCGGACAAGAACGTGGCAGGGCCGTGTCCGAGATCGTCGGAACCCCCGGCCATCCACTGTTTCCAACCACCTCCGGTGTATCCATCCCAAGCGATTTGCTTCTTCGCGCTCATGTCGTATTGTAAATACGCACCATTATACCCGCGAGTCGTCTTGGCCTGGTGATTGTTGACGACGAACGAAGCTCGTTGCGAGATGAGCTGTTCGACGGGTCGGATCGCCGAGTACTGGAGGACGCTCTTTTTGCGCCCACCGGCATACGTGACCGTGACCTTGTTAGGTCCGATAGTCGGCAGGGTCACTTGATAGATATTGTACCCGTTTTTCGAACCTTGGGAGACGATCTGGATGTTTTTCCCAGTCTCACCGACGACGGATTGAATCCCACCGTTGGCGCGCAACGACAAGGTGGCCTTGGAATCGGTAGGAATCGTCAATCCCGGCAGGGACACGGTATCGAGCCCACCGGAAGCGTACAGGGCGTCCCGCAAACCCTGATAATCCTTGGGCCATCTGAACTGAAAGCTAAACGTCTTGTTGCCTCCCGCCGGGATGACGCTGGACGTCGCAGGGAGGTAGCTGATGGCCTGGTTGACCCGAGCCGGCTGGACGTTCTTCGAGTTGGCGTAATACTCGACGACCCCTTCCCACTTGGGATCGACCTCTGCGAACGGGCCTTCCCCGTACCGAGCCTTGTTCTTGTACTCGAGCGAGGTGCCGTTCCCCGGAGTCATCAGGAGGTAAGGACCCTCTCCATTGGGTCGCTGGTAGTAGATGTAGGAACCATCGAGCGCCGTGTGCGAGTGTCGCCCAACTCCCTTTTCGTAGATCGTCGTCTGATCGGCCGCCCAATATCCGTTGAAGAGCAAGGGGAAACCGACGTCCATAAACTCGAGCGCCTGAGATCCAGTGTTCTGAACAGTATTAGACCAGACGAGGACATCTTGATCGTCGGCGTTCCAGATCTGTTTGACGTTGAACCCCTTGAACCCGTTGGCATCGGCGGCGTTACCGGTATAATCGACGTTGATGCTGTTTCCAGGCCCCTTGGTGACCTTGCGAACGTCGCCGGACAGGCCCGACACCATGGTAGTCCCCGCTGCCGTACTCCCGGCCGGTCTGACGTTGAAGATCAAGTCGCCCAACCACCTCGAGTCCCTGACGTTGAATTGGGACTGCATGGTCGCGTTGATAACATAGTTGGTGTTGAATGAATCGCCCTGATTGAAAAGGCCAAAAACGCCGCCGGAAGCGACGTCGACATTGAGACCAAAGCTGGACGAAGCGAGTGAGAGAAAGGAGGACGACATGGTAGAAGGTAGGGTAGAAATTGGCAGTGCGGTCCGGAGTGGTGCGGTATGCGAGTGTCGTCAGAGCGAAGGAATCGATGTGTATGTGCTTGAGGGAAGACCAGCTCCCGAAGCGATAAAATTGGTAAAGACTATGCTGTTTCCGTTTGCCGAGTGTGACTTTGAAGATGACGATGGTGTTGAAGGAGAATGTCGAAGGCGAGTGTGTTGCTGATACTTACTTCATCGTGCTCGGACCCTCGACCGAAATAAATCACCGGGAGGTCTACATCTTTATACCCCGTCGTCTCGTCAACTGCGCAACTGCTTCGGCCTCACCCCAAGCGGTTGATCACGCGCTGCGAGATCCTAGCTCAGAGCTCAACAGGCCTCAAGGAAGAGAAAGAAAGAGGAGAGATCTCGTTGTTGTTGTTGTCGTTGCGTTTGTCGTTTGTTGTCTGTCTGTTCTCCTCCGCATTCTCATCTCGTCTCTGACAGAGTCCGCCCGACGTCCATTTGTCCGACCGAGTGCCACTAGCAGCTAGTAGCTGATACTATATTGCCAAGAGAATCCAGGGACATGACAATCAGCGAAAGCAGCCGCAGCAGGTGGTGGACAGTGGCTCATAGGCGGATGAAGATTGAACAACGGTCCGACTGTATGCATAGCATAGGACCAGGATTGGAGATGGCTTGGGTCGCGGTGCTCGAGGCGAGTTGACGGTCGTGTCTTCCCCGCAAAACTGTCCATGTCCGGCAGTGGGGCAACAAGAAGAGAGAAAGAGACCCAGTGTCATCCTATGCCCTAGGGGAAGAAGCTATGATCGGACCGAGAGAGGCAGAAAGAGTGTCACACGAGCTTCCGAGAATTGGTGATCCATCGATCCATCGATTCAGTTGTGACGTCGCCCGCGTCATCAATTGATTGTATCTGATTTCATGTAGCCCACTAGTACTACTCTAATGAACATACTATCAATCATCATTCACTTTGCTGAGCTTGGTAGACCTTCCTATTGCCTGTTGCTGGAAAGAAAGAACCTCAGGTGAGTTCATCAAGACGTTAGCCAAGTACGGACTCGCCGGTACCCGCCCGATAACGAATATCGAATACAGTATCCCATACCCGCATCCTGGAACGCTTGGCCGAAGGACTGGCTTGCACGTACTGTCGGTGCCAGACGACCGTGTCGGTCGACAAGTGCGTCGAGCAAAAAAATGGCCACCTCGAGATATCGAGCTCCGGCATAGCCCTTTGGCATCAGCTTTCAGGGTAGCGACGGTGTTGTCGCTAATGGCCATTGCTAACGGCAGTTGCAATGTCGGACACTGATGATCGCGTCTGAGAAGGTTGAAACGGTGTCGGAGGCCGGAGGCAAGAAAGCGATGGTATGGATTCTTTATTCACGACTAAAAGTGATTCGACAACGACCGGTCTTTCGGCTTTACAATACTACTAGAGTTAAACGCATGATGCCACTGAACCTTTTCCCTATTGTACCTGCACCTCGAGAGTTCCTCATGTCATGAACCTATAACCCTTGGGCACACCTTCCAACGATCCCGTGTAAGGCTTATCCTCGCTATCCAATCGATCCATCTTTCGATTTTGACCCTTCAAGACGTATTTGATGGTGATGGCGCAGACGGCTACCATGAACGAGAACCCAGCCAGCGCCGATCCACCAGGGATATATTTGGGTGCGTCGGATTCGGGGAAAAAGTAGGGAGAGAAGAAATGAGAGGCGTTGGCGAGGCCGTTGACGAGGGAGAGAGCGGCGGCTCGCTTGATCCTAGGTCGGGGGATGGTAGACGCCAACCAGGCGAACGAGAGGTTGAACGCGCAGTACGACCCGAGCGTCAGCATGAACATGGCGGTGTATCGACCGGCCACGTTCGATTTGGGTAGTGCGATCACCAGGGCGTTGCCGATGGTAGAGATGAGCATGGGTATGGCGATGTGCAGCGCCCTTTCTTCCATTTTCGACGAGGATATGGCGACGCCGACCGACGCCACAAAGGCGAACAGGTACGGAGGGGCCGTCAACAGCAGGGTCTTTTGCGAGTCGTATCCGAGCGACTTGACGATCGACGGGAAGAAGTAGGAGAAGGATTGTGAACAAGAGATGAACATCTGCTGGAAGATGAGCATGACGATCTGTGGCGGAGCAGACGATTCAAGCGGTTTAGTTAGGATTCGCAAACATGTTGAGTTAGGGGCTGGCTCGTTCACCTTCCAATCCTTCAAGACGAGCTTGGCACCCTTGATCAGTGACTTTTCTCCACCTTCGTCAGGTTCACCGTTCGCATCCTGAGTGGTACGCCATATCGCCAGTCTCCTCTGTTCCTCGGTGAAGAACTTGGTTTTGCTCGGATAGGAAGGCAAGACGAAGTAGATGCTCGCTCCGACGAACTATATGTAGAATAAGCCGACCGAGCCGCCATGAGATCTCGTCTCTTGCCTCAAAGAATTCGATGCGGTACTCACCACAGTGACAGCCCCTTCCAGGATGAACAACCATCGCCACCCTGCCAACCCCCCCTTGCCTTGTAAGCCGGAGATGATCGCCGCAGCGAGCAGACCGCCGAAACAGTTGGAGAGCGAGTCGCCGGAATACACGATGGCGATCCTGACGGCGAGCTCTTTTCTGGTGTAGAATGAGGATAGGATTAAGAGAGCGCCGGGGAAGAATGGCTGGGAGGAAGTAGAAAGAACATGTGTGTTTCGATGAATTGTATCAGGATTCACTTCGAACAGTTTGATTCTGATATTTGTGCGTGCGAAAAAGACTCACCGCCTCGGCGACTCCAACCAAGAACCGCAGCGCCAACATCTGCGGGATCGTATGGATGAACCCACAACACATCGAGACAACCCCCCAGACGCATACGGCCCCCGTGAGGAAAAAGGTAGGGGGGATCTTGGCCAAGATGAACCCTGCGGGAATCTGCATCCCTACGTATCCGATAAAGAGGAAGAGGACGGCGTTGTTGTAATCTAGGTTACCGAATTTGAGGTCGGTGGCCATCCCGGCGACTTTGGCGTTGGCGATGTTGTTACGGTCGAGGATGTTGAGCTATAGTATGCAGTACATAGGTTCGAGGCGGAGACAAAGCGACAAACCGTGGGACGATGTCAATATGGTGCCTTTCCCCGAAGTATGTCTTTGCGGCTATGCGCGGCACTCACCAAAAATAGCAGGATCAAGATGGGCAAGACCCGAAAGTCGATCAACCTGACCAGCTTCTTGGACATGGCTTGAGTCTCCTCCAGAGTATATCCTTCGAAACAGGTCTCGACGACGGGAGTAGAGTCCCGCGCGTCGAGGGAGGTGAGATCGGGACCCGACTTGTCCTCGATCATCTCGACCTCTTGGTCCTTCTTGTCGTCCCGTTGGGAGAGGTGTTGGAGTGTGGTCATGTTGTGTGTGCTGGATCTTGTCGAGGAGGCTTGGAATCAAGGAGACAGAGAGACTGGAGACCCCAATGAACTCAAGACGATGGCGACCTTGTTATATGAACTCGCAACCTCGCGGGCGCGCGCGCGCTTGATGTGGCGCATCGGCATCGGCCGCGTGCGTATCGGCAGTTCGGCCTGGACCGAAGTCACTCCCTTCCGAACCGAAGTCTGCCGATGTCCCGCGATAGTAGTGTCCCGACATCCGAACAAGGAGGTCTCTCTCCCAGCTCCCATCTCCCATCTCCTAGGCTTCCAGGATCATAGCATGCTCGTATGATAGTGTGGCGGTTTCGTACTATTTCGGCCGTCACGCCGGCCCGTGATCCCGGTCCGAACATTGGAGGGCACTCTGCTCCGAAGATGGCGACGACCTTGTTATTTAGGAGGGCAGGAGTGATTGTTCGTGGGACATGGTCACGTATGTATACCCCTCATTCACCCTGGATGATCGACCGACTGACCCTTGACGGCTCGCTCTCAGACCACCCTCACCCCTAAGACCATCACTATGCCGACTGCGACGCCTCTGTTCAAAGCTCGTTCAGTGACATCGCTGATCGATACTCGAGCTCGTAAGTTCAAGGTTCACCTCATCGATTTCGGGGCTTGACAATCTCGATATCGCGTGCAAAGAGGTTGACGTTCCATGTCGGTATTCTTTGTTGACATCTAACAGGCGAGAATCCTGATGATCCCGCCGTTCACACCGGTGCGGCCGAGTTTGGGGACGAGCTCCGGACTTTGACGTGAGCTGGTTCTTGTGCCTCGGGGCGAGCAAGCCAGCGACTCGGTTCGACAGATATTAACCAACGTCTACATAACTGTGTATTGTCTCTGTTCATCTTGCAGCTACTCTCAACTCGCTCGAGCTGTCGATCGACTCGCCGCGCACTTCCACCCTCTGGCAAGGTCTTCCACAATATCATCCACATCCACATCGGCATCGGCATCGGCATCTGTACCCCCCGAACAAGTCATCGCCGTACTCGTCTCCACAGCAATAGACGAGACGCTCCTAGAAATCGCACTCGCCAAACTAGGTCTCACCCCTCTCCTCTTATCGGTTAATAACTCTCCAGCGGCCGTAGCCCATCTTATTACGGTGACAAAGGCGACCCACTTGATCTATTCGCCCAGATACCAGAAGACCGCGGAGATTGCCAGGGATGAGCTTGCTGCGAAGAATATCGCGGTGAAGATTATGCAGGATACGAGGTTCCCACTTTGGGGTCCGGGCGGGGTGGATGATGCCAAGATTGCGAGGTTTCCGGCGAGGTTGACACCGGATGTGGAAAGTTCGAGGACGGCTGTCATCTTGCATTCGAGCGGGTCGGTAAGTCGTGAGAGAAAGAGAAAACTCTATTAGGCGGCCGATTTCCTGACTGACTGGATATGGTTGTTCTTTCTTCGTAGACGGGATTTCCGAAACCGGTATACATCACCCACTATGGGCTTATCGCCAACGTAAGTAAAGCTCTCAAGCAACGACCCATCTACAAGCCCGCTATTATTTGTCCAGCGATCGCCATCTGATATCGACCTGAATACATTATGTGATACGTAACAATGATTAGCTTCACCACGCTCTTGCGTTGCCCGGGTTCAGTGCGCTGCCGCTCTTCCACGGGTTTGGACACTTTAGCATGTGAGTACACGTACACGATCACTTTGAGAATCAGGTATCAGGAGAGACGTAGGCTCATATATTGGAATCTTATCTAGCTTTCGGTGCATCTACCATGCACAGCCTTTTACCCTTATCCCCCCTCACCTGCCGTTGACCTCGGCCAACATCTGTAGGGTCATCAAAGAGTCTCCTTCTCCCCCTCGTGTGAGTACATGGTCCTGTTATCGAGAACATACATACACGTCTGCTGATACTGGCGTGTGACGCCGACTTCTTTCATAGCAACACTTTGCGGTTCCCTACGTTCTGAAGCTATTGGCCGAGACGGAAGAGGGTATCGAGACGTTGGCCGGGTTTGACGCCGTGTCGTTTGCCGGCGCTGCAGTCCCGGTGAGCTATTCCTCCGAGCCAATCTTTTCGCTTGGCCACATAAGCTCATCCCCCTGTTTCATGAATCTGGGTAGGACGACCTTGGAGATCGTCTAGTCGCAGCCGGAGTCAACCTTATCAGCTACTGGGGATTGACCGAGACTGGCGCCGTCCTCAATTCCAAACGAGACTTTGCAAAAGACAAGGGATGGAACTGGCTCAGATCCGAGGGGTTGGCAGCGCAATACCTCGAAGCGGAACCCCGGGGCGGGGATACGTTCGAACTGGTCGTCAAGGACGGGTATCCCCCGAAGATTATGAGCAATCGAGATGATGGGTCTTATGCCACCAAGGATCTCTTCCTGAGACATCCTACCGAGCCGAACTGGTACAAGTACATCGGACGGCTGGACGACACATTGACTCAGACGTTGGGTGAAAAGACGAATCCCGTCCCGATGGAGCTGGCTATCGTGAGTATGAGCGTCATGCGATAAACGAGACTGCCCTGATGTTCCGTCTTATCCTCATTTTCGCAGAGAGGGAACTCTTCGCTCATTCAAGAATGCATCGTGTTCGGAGACGGGCGCCCTCAGGTCGGCTGTCTCTTGCTTCCCTCGGACACGGCAGGTGAACTCTGGAAAGACCGAAAGGCCTTCTTGGACCGGGTGTGGCCCGTTATCGACGACATCAACGGGCGATCACCCACTCATAGCCGAATCCTCCCGGAAATGGTCGGAATCTTGCCTCCTGGTACCGAGATTCCTGTGGCCACCAAGATGACCATCTTGCGACCTGCTTGCTACAAGAAGTTCGCCGCGGAGATCGATGCGTTGTACTCTGGGTTTGAGAACGGCATCGGACAGGCGAAGCGAGTGCTGGAAGATCAGGGGGAGATGCAGGTCTTTCTCAGAGACACCATCACCAACGTCCTCGGCAACAAGGGAGAGGATCTGGAGTCGAACACTGATCTGTTCGCCTACGGTGTGGATTCGCTTCAGGCTACACGCATCCGGAACGTCATCCAAAAGTCGATCGAGCTTAACGGTCGGACTCTGGGACAAAACGTCGTGTACGAGCATCCCTCGATAAAAGCGTTGTCGACCTACTTGCTCGAGTTGATGTCGGGAATGGACCAGGACAAGAGCACCGCCAAGCAACATCAGGTCATGCTGGACATGGTCGACAAGTGGTCGTCTCGACTGGTCGAGGATAGGAGCGTGTACAAAAGTGTGGACGTCGCTTCATCTGCTGGCGGCGAGGTCGTGCTCTTGACCGGTGCGACGGGATCTCTAGGAGCGCACATTCTAGACTGTCTCATCCGGTCACCGTCTGTTCACAAGGTCATCTGCCTTTCGAGGGCCAAATCCCATGACGATTCTCTGTACCGCGTCCAAACTTCTCTGCGAGAGCGGATGCGCCCGGCTACCTGTCTGGACAAGCTGGTCTCCTTTGCCGCAGACGTGAACAAGGCAGATCTCGGTCTAAGCTCGGCCGAGTACGAAATGTTACGCACCGAAGTCACCACGATCATTCACAACGCTTGGCCCGTCAACTTTGTCTTGTCAACCGAGTCCTTCGACGAGCATGTCGGCGGGGCGGTCAACCTCCTCAACTTGGCTCTCAAGTCGCCCAAAGACAAGACACCTGCGTTCTACTTTTCATCATCGGTCGGTACTCGACAAGGCCGCTACGAGGCGTCTGTATCGGAGGATTTCCCCGATAGTCCTGAAACTGCAGGACCGATGGGTTATGCCAGGTCGAAATGGGTCGTCGAGAAGGTGTTGGAGAGAGCAGGGAAGTCGACCGAAGCGACTGTCGCAGTACTAAGGATCGGGCAACTCGTGGGCGATACGGAAAAGTGAGTCGACAGTCGCGCGCTGTAGCCCTGAGGCGTATCTGACTGACTTGAGATCGACTCACAGCGGCGTGTGGAACGAGACCGAGGCCTGGCCGTTGATGTTCAGGTCGATCGACACTGTTGGAGCCTTGCCAATGCTTCAAGAGGTAAGCACAGTGCCGAAACTGACGCAAAAAGATTCGCTCCGGACTGATAACCCACATCGGCATTCATCAGACCCTGAGCTGGTTACCTGTTGATTTCGCTGGTCGAGCGATTGTAGAGATCGTCACTTCGTCCGACCAACCGAAGAGCGCCGTTTACCATATCGTCAACCCGAATATCACGGGTACCTGGAAGGACATCATCGACGGGTTGCGGAAGGCTGGCAAAACATTCGACCTTGTCGACAGATTTGAATGGCTACGACGTTTAAGCCTATCCGAGCCTGACGTAACGAAAAATCCGACATACAAGCTTCTCGTGAGTCGCCTTCGAGGTGTTTGAGGGCGACTGAGTCGTTTCACAACTAACGCGTCGCGGCGCTCTTCTCACAGACATTTTACACGAACCGTATGGGCGACAAGAGCGAAAGGCCAGCCATGGACTTTGTGGTAGAGCAGACTCGTCGATCAGCCTCGACCATAGGTCAGTGTCCGCCATTGTCAGAGGCGCTGGCGGAACGGTGGACGAAGCACTGGCGCGAGACTGGTTTCCTAGCTTGAAGCGCCTCGTTCCCGACTTGAGACTCTGCCAGCTGTGGCCTATCTACCATCTACCTTACGAATCAAGATCAAGTTGTATCGCTCTACATGTGCTGGGATGGACATTATTATTGCATCATGATGATATGCCGTACATCTGCCGCTCAGCCAAGGGATTGTCTCTGTCCTTCTTCCGAATGGTCCGAGGTTCCCGGGGAGCCAACCCGGTTGGCAAGAGCAGAGCAGGCGATGATGATAGCTATGATGATCGCCCAACCGATATATTTTACACCTGTACACCTGTCGCAAACCACGGCCGACAGCAACATCTTCACGGTCTCGGTCAGACCCCTGCGACTGTATAGCTCCCCTTGACTTGGAGATTACTGGCTCGCAGTCTACTCAAAATCGGGTCATCACAGCCTTCGCAGCTTCGCAACAGTTTCGGCTTTCAATAAATAAACTAGGCGATCAAGATGGAGTTCAACTCTAGCGAACAACACCGAGAGCGATCATCGTTGAATCAGGAAGCTTCAGAATCATCCGGAAGACCAGATGTGCACCGTCGACAGGGTTGGGGTTCAGACAGTCGGGACGATCGAGCTGAGCCCGCCGACGGTCGAAAGGGTGGCAGCGGGATTATCAGGGTTAGCCGTAAGTAGACCGCTGAAAGCAGGTCGCTAAGCGGCATCGTAATGGCTGAAGGGCCTTTCTTGTCGTCTCATCTGGTATGCAGAAGCATGTGTAAGTAGTCTAGTCTTGGCATCGAGCCAACTAACGAGGATAGCGGGATCTGCTGCTGAAGCTTGTGATGGATCTCTGCACAGACAAACTGTCGCCGGATGAAGTTGCGATGCGTCAATGCGGATGATCCTCCTTGCAAAAGATGCGCTCATTTCGGGGAAGACTGTATCGTTGGTCAACCGACACAGAGGAGGTTAAATGCCCGAGCGAAAAAGAAGGACGACACGCACGACCCATCACGGGCTCGAGAAGAAGAACGGTCATCCTCGGGGTCCAAGAACGACTCCTATCTCGGCCCGAGTGCCTCGAAAGCGTGAGCCAGCAAGGAATCGACCGACCTTGAAGATGATGTGATACTAAATCTCTGCCTATATGTAGTCGGATCGAACAGCTTGAGAACAAGGTCAACTCCATGCAGTCCACCTTGCAAGACATCCTTGCGGTATTGCAGAGCGGTGTACCAGCGACCTCCTCCCAGGCTCCGCCAAACTTAGAACGACCTTTTCTGCCGGATGCCGCTGTGGTTCCGGACATTATTGGATCATACGGCGAGAGAAATCACCATCCAATCAGGAGTCAGTCATCAATATCCGCTCAAGTCTCGCTACCTCCAGACGAGACCATTTGGCAAGCGGAAGAGGTGATTTCTCAGCCGTCGAGCCGAACCCACTCGTTTTTGCAAGCGATGCCACGTCCTGCTCAAGGAGGAGCGATGTTTCCATTCGACAATCCAGCCTGGTTCGTTCAGCCAATCGCATCAGGCTCAACCGTATCCCTGGATCCTACTTCACATTCACAGGCCATCATCGACAATCCGGGGCTGTCAGCTCATGTGAACGATACCCATTCGATCAAGCGTGCAATGTCCTCTGATGAGAGGGCAAATTCCCAGTCGCCTTCCGATGAAGACGACGAAGATCCGTTGGCTCCCGGCCGTATTGCGGCTCCTCTCGGTACGATGGCGGATTTGGCAGAAGTAGCCGTTGAAAGGGCAAACTACGAAAGTCGTGCACGCGAAAACGTCAATGTCAGCGAAGTCAACACGGTCTCCAGCCTGGATCTCGGCCCTAACAAGAAGCGGAAGCTGGGGTTGGCGACCGCTCCTGAACACTTGTCAGCAAGGCATCTGAAGGAATCGCGGTTGACAAGCCCATTGCCGTCTCGAGATCGAGCTGCTGTTGCATCTTCCGGCTTGACGACCGATGAGGTTGACGTGGTCGATGCAGGCCTCGTGGAAGAAACAGACGCTCGGGAATTACACCACCTCTTCTTTCAAGGCTGCAATATCTTCATCCCGATCTTCGATTCTCATTCAGATACCTGGGAGAGCCTCAAACGTCGATCCCCTTTGCTGCTCACGACGATCGTGGGTATCGGAGCTCGAGTGAGAGATGGCGGCGGTCCTGTGAGCGCTACGCAGCACGACGCTCTGACGCATGCACGCAGACTCGCCTCGAACACGCTTTTCGATTCGACTCCGAAAGCGGAGACTGTCCAGGCCATGATCTTGCTTGCGACCTACAACGACAACGGCAGGATTCCGGCCAGCCACGCGAACGCCCTCGCTATGGCGATCGGCTTGGACAGCCACCTGATGCAATTGCTACGAACGGGCATGGGTGCCGGACTTTCTCGCGACGAACTGGAATCCGAGCGGCACCTGGTCGTGGGCAGCAGGATCATTCTATATCTGTTTCAGCTCGAACACCAGCTCGCGTTCGGCACAGGGCGCCCGGCGCTGTTTCGCAAGGATCTCGGTATCGATCGTTGCCGGGAGCTCCTCTCGCATCCCCTCTCGTTACCTTCGGACGCGAGGCTCGTGTCTACTGTGGAGATGATGTCCCTAAGAGCGCCGCTCCACGTTCTCTTGACCAACTCTCCCGACCAAGCTTTGGATCAGGAAACCATCTCCCAGCTTCGAGAAGCGAATGCTGGCTTTGAGAGGTGGTTGAGGCATTGGGACGCCGTCTTTACGGAAACATTTCCACAAGAACAGCAGTCAGACTTTTACCGGGAATCGCTCGTTGCGCAGAGGGAGTATGCCAGTCTGTTCACCAACTCACAGCTGCTGCGGGAGATAAGGAGCGCAAGCGATGTCAAGCGAATGCCGAACGATAAACGAGAACTAGCTTTACGCGCTATGGAGAACGCACAGAACTGCATACGAATCGCTCTAAGGGGCAAGAGCTACGGCCGTGCTTTCAAATTCGGTAGGTGGCCTTTGTCATTGTGCTCCGACGTTTTTCGCTTGACTGATTTCCTGCTCTTGCTCGACACAGCTGTGCACTACACCCACGTATGCGTCGCGTTCGCAGCGTCGTTCTTGATTCGGATCGCCAGATTGTTCCCAAGCCAGCTCGATCTTCGACAGACTGCCAAAGACGTCGAAGAGCTGGCGGTTCTTTTGTCGCAAGGTCAGTCGGATGCGCCAGGCCCTTGGTGGTCGATAATTGACAATAAGACCTGCCGAACCAGTACCTGCTGGCCGGTACGCTCGTTCGATCCGTCTCATTCTGAGGAGAGCTCGACGACGCAACGAGATACCGCTCCCATCGCGAGCTACGTCTCCCTCACGAACGAATCTCGTGCCGACTGATCGACATGGGCCATGTATCCCCGCACATGCCGAATACGACCAGACGCCGATCGACAACTCGTCTGATCATCGTAATATGAGGGTTTCCGCCGACGAAGCTGGATTTTTCGACCCCTCCTTAGACCAAGGTTCTTCTTACCAATACGACTTTGATTACGCGCAGCGGCTCTGGGAGCAAGCTGGACTCTCCGACAGCAATGACTTGCTACCTCTGTGAGTCGTATGGGTGCACGGCTCTGTGCTATGCTGTCTGGGCTTATCAAGGCGTTGATTCGGCCTCACAGGTTTCTCGATGGCGAATCGCTCGGCAACACCACTCTGAACGCTTCTTTCGCCCTCGAAGACTTTTTCATACCGCCAGAGTTGGATCTCAGATTCAATCATCTGGGCATGTTTCCCGATTCGTGATTCAGCTAGATGTACCCCCTGATGATAGACACAATAGTATGCCTTGATGGAATGCCGACGATTTGGGCAACTCACGGCCCGCAGCGCCTTGTTCACATCGCCCACATCCTTGCCGTTCCGGTATCGCTCGAAAGCCAGTGCCAAAAACGAGCTTGCAGATCCGCCCAATCTCGATGCACGGCTTGGATCGGCCTCTCTCGAGGTGGCCGCAAGCCTGAAGATTCTCGTTGTCTCAAGACGTCTACAGCGATTACGTGGCTATTGGAGTTTTTCGCTCTCCTTATACCGAACCTCTTCCAAGTGCCAATTCTCCTCATTTCCAGGTGAAGAACCGACGTATGGATCGTCTTGCGTCCTAGCTCTCAGAGTTGTAAATGTACGATTCCGCCTGGACACGAGGACGCGTTCGAGACAGAGGGATACCGGCCGGAGTGTTTCTGAAGCAACCGAGGCGTGCCTGGTTTGCCAGCTGTGTCGATTTGATCAGATTGATGGGTCCGAGGTTGGGAATAAACCGTCTGATTACAAGTCGATTTCGATCAACGTGGGAATTCCGAGTCGGAGTCACTCCATTGCTAGCCTGCACATTCAGGAATAGGATTCTGATCTTCAAGATCTGCACAAGCCGACCGAATACTATTATCAGTTGTCGCGCCCCTTAGATTGCAAAGACCAGCCGGCTCACACAAGATTGTCTTCCCGTATCATAGCCCGCTACCGATTCCCCAGAGCCTACCTGCCAGGACGGCCTCTCCTACTCTTCGCCATACACCTTGTCCGTTCTCCTCGCTCCGCAATCGGCGTAGCGATAGCGACAGCGATAGGCGCAGGAGCAGGCGCAGCCGCAGGCACAGGCACAGCCGCAGGCACAGGCACAGCCGCAGGTGCGGCAGTGACTACGATGACATCCTCCACCTCGATGGCGCTTTCAACATTGGATCCCGCCCGGAAAGGAAGGCGAAGACTAGCTTCTTCCCGGCTGATCGCCAGTTCGTCCCCGCTGCTTGCTACCTCATCCTCATCCCCGTCGTCCGAGTCCGATTCCGATTCCACGTCGACCGCGATAGCGATATTCTGCCCATATGCTGATCCGTCGTCTTCACTCGAGCTGCTTTCAGCTTCGAGCTCACTCTCACTTTGACTTCCGTCTCCTGCTCGCTCCGCCAGTTCCACCTCGACGTCATCTGCGACTTCGAATTCGACTTGATCTTCCTCTCCATCTTCATCGCCCTCAGATTCTTCCTCGGCCCAGACCCACCCTAGCCCACCCCGACTGCCCGTTCCGTTCCGGCCTCCGGTTTTGCTTCTCTTCGGTATATTCCCTTGTCGTGGACATCGACGGAATTCGAACGTGCATACTTGTTTGCCCGTGATAGGTGATTTGATCGCTCGGGCGGAGATGATCTTGTAAAGGCCGTCGTACCGAAAGCCTTTTGTGATACAAGCGAGATGGTTTTGTCATGTATGGGTGCGAGGTTGGAGACAGGTAGGGTTGAAGGGGGTATCGAGGAGGACGGATGAGATTGCGATGCACGACGGTGTCGACCATGGGGGTGCGGGTCGAGAAGTAGAAAGCCGGGTATTCGATGTGGAGACGATCGATTTGAAGCAAGTAGTCAGCTTGTATCTTTGCTAACCTTGGAGTTCCTCACAACGACTGTGTGACATGCCCCTCGACTTACCATGCTCCGGCGCCCAAACGCAATTAGACCTACTCCCCCTGATGACCCTGATCACAGTCCCCGTCTCCATATTCTTTTCCAAGGCCTGATGTATTGCATGCTCAAAAGTCTGATCTCTACTCTGCACTTGTGCCCCGCCACCACCTCTAATGCCATCCCGGAAGGAAAAGTTCCCGTAAGCGGAGATGAAGGTGAACCGGTTTCCGAAGTCCAGAGAATCTTGCCAGGCCATATTGGCAGAGGAATTGAAGCCTCCCTGGCCGTATAAGCAGAGAGAAGCTGCGGGCTTCAAGGAGGTGGACCGTACTCTCAGACCTCCGTCGTGTACGGTAGGGCTGATAAGGGTCTTGTGGTCCCACGTCCTGAAGACCGGGACGCCCGGTACGTTCCCATAGACGATAGAAGGCGGAGCAGCTTTGGGTTCAGGTTGATACCGTAGGAATTCTCCTGTAGAGGTACGCTGTTTTAAAGCACGGCCGTTGTAAACGATCTGACCCTTTGAAGCTGGGCGGCGTGAGGTTCGACGGAGACTAGCAGGGTCGACGACGGGTTTCTCTTCGCGTTTGACCCGTTGACCCGCGGGAATAGGAGTCGATGAAGAGGACGATGACGCTCCGGGTAGGGTAGGAATCTGGAACAAACCCAGACCTTCGAGAAGAGCTTGATTCTCGGCAATCTGACGTTCTCTGGCCTGTTCGTAGGTCTCGCCCTCGTTCGAGTTTGACTCAGAATCGGAGTCCGGCTCGGATTTGATCGATGGGGATTCCGATTTGACGCGTTGTAGGGTCCGAGTGGGCGGCATGGTTACCGATTAATTAGATGAACATGCGAATGGATGGAGCTGGATATCGACCGCTGTAGAGGTAGGCGAATATGAACACTTTGTGACTTCTCCCGGTCATTGTCGAATGCGATGTCCGGGCTCGAGGTCGAGGTGCGTGGATGCTCCCCAAAGTGAATATTCGATGTGAAATGTTGCTGTTTCCACCGGGCGACGCTCGTGTTTCAGCATGAGCGACGTCTCGCATATTCGAACTTTGCCTGCAAGTCGCGATCTCAGTCCCCAGGAAAGTTGTATTCCACTGCAGGACTCTTCCTGGGATGATCGAGAAGCCACCGAGCGTCTGGCCCGCATGCTTTTCGTACGCCGCCCGATGCCTCATGGGGTCCGCTTCACACGCACTCCCGTTCCATAGTAGCCTGTCGAACAGTTCCGCAGTCGCGATTGAGAACGGTATACCTAAGATATAGGCCGGAAAGAACCCGTCGAGAGTAAACCTAGAGTACATTAAGAATGGTAGCCATTTCTGGAATCCCTACACTGTTGATGCAGTCGAGCCCTACGCCTCCTTTTGCGGCCGAACACTGCATCGTAAGAGAAGCATTAATTGTCACCCGGGTGGGTAGATGCCTATGCTGCAAGACCGTACTGTGGGAAGTATTGCCACCAGGTATAATCTTCAGAATATTACCATCGGTCGTTTCGCTATCCATAATCGTTCCATATGACACTCTTGGTCTAATTCCATTCGCTTTTGTCGACCGCCGAGGCTCGTTATCGCATGTCTTCACTTGGATCGCTCAGCGTTGCAATCTCCTGCGACCATCTGCGGGATTACCATATATCCGGCACATCAAAGTCCTAAATCCCCATGACGCCAAGAGAGCGACTTTCCGCGGTTCAGTAAGCTGAACTACAAGCAGACATTGATTTCGCTGCTGTGCCTTGGACGATGTGCGGATCCATTCTCGTGCATCCTCTAGTGCACATCAACCTCGTCCAATTCATTTATTGTATCGTTGTAACGAGACATGAAATCAAGAGACGACTACCGACGGTCCAACAACCAGAGTAAAATAACCTATTGGTGGAAACAGAGAAGTAAGCTTCGGCTCCATAGTAGCATCGGTAACTCTTTTGTCAGCAGATATTGTGCAAGTCATTTTCTTAGTTGGATCTCAACGAGCCCTGCGAGGTACCTCATCGCCCAAGGGTTCTTCATTGTCTTCTACCAAACTCGCTAAAGTCGCTGTAGTATAGGGCAATGCGAGGGCGACCCCTAAGAAGGAAGCCGTACCTGCTGACTGAAACTCAAGAACCTCGCGCTCCTTTGTGGTCAATTACGAGAGGTGGCGTATCAAATTTTCGAGGCCTGGACTATTTGGATCGTGATTGTTCAGGCCAATCAAACGCCAGGTCACATCCGTGCTGGGAACATAACGAGATGGCAGCCCTGCGACGGTGCCAGATTATTTCGTCCGTTCGCTGCAACACAGACGATCAAAGGCCTTTGAGGTTCTCGGAAGCATACCTAGCTGTTTCACATCCCAGCACGCCACGATGATGACGACGATGAAAGGGCAACGTTCCTTTGTTCTAGACGAGGCCATCCAGAAGGATGAGAGGGTATATATGTCGGCAACATTCGTCGAAGGATCTTGCTGTAGTGACCGGCGAGTTGATTCCAGGATATCGATCGAGAAGTTTCCGAAGCTCGAACGCTCTCTTGCAAACATGGCGGACAGCAACCTATCGCTCACCGTTCCCTCTTACACCTGGCCCCTGCTCGTCGGCTCAGCCATCATCTACCTGTTGATGCGTCGTCGGCTGGAGAAGGCACAGTGGACCTCGAACCCACCCTCACTCAAGGAGAAGACTGCCGGGATCCATCTCACTGGCGATCAAGTCATCTCGCCCAGAACTTTGGACTACCTTGAGAACATGCGGGATCAATGGCAGATCCCTGGAGTCTCTATTGCCATTGTCAGAATGAACAAGGATGGGGCATGGGAGAAACAGACCATTGGGTTGGGCAGGAAGGATGCAGAGGGTAATCAAGTTACTGAAAGAGTAGGTCAAGGAATTTATCCCTCTGCTTCAGCTCCCATCAAACAAGATTGATTGCCTGATTTTTTTCTGTATGCAGACTCTTTTCAGCATTGGATCCAACTCAAAACTCTTTACCACCATTGCTGCTGGTCTTTCCTTGTCCCAAGCTAAATTGTCTTGGCACTCACTTGTGAAAGATGTCATTCCGTATTTTCAAATGATGAACAAGGAAGCAGAGGAGCAAGCTACATTCATTGACCTGATGAGCCACCAGACGGGATTGGCAAGGCATGACATTTCCTACAAGTAAGTGATTGCCAGAAGGGGGACAATCATCACAGCTTTAAGATACTGACCTGTGAACGTACACCAGCGCTGACATCACAGTTGAAGAAATGACCAAATCCCTTGCCCACTTGAAGCCCTCGGCTCCTTTCAAATCACTCTATCAGTACAACAATATTGCCTACAACACTGTCTCGTCTCTGCCTGAGCTACTCCTTGGCCAGAAGTTTGATGAGTTTATCAAAAATATCATCTTGGGCCCTTTGGGGATGAATCATAGCTTCTATGATATTGAGTTTGCAAGGGCAACACAAGACCTCAGCAGCGCATTTGCCAGAAAGATATCCATTGGCCAATCAGGTCTACAAGACGTTGAGGTTGCCCAGGAGGACATCAAGGCAGGAAGGAGGCTGAGCAATGAAGGTAGAGGGAGTGAACAAGCTCTTGGTTGGCCCATACAATACTGGCAAGGAGGTGCTGGGGCAGGTGGCATAATCACATGTTCCAAAGATCTGGTAAGCGATCGACCTTTGATCACAAAACAAACAAAAAAACTTCCCCATGCTAATTGATTCATGCACTTGTGTTGTAGACCATTTGGCTACAAACCATGCTATTGAATGGAGAACATCCAGAAACGCAAAAGCAGATTATCCCATCTTGGATCTTTCAAGATGCTATCAAGCCACAGGTTCCAATTGTCCCTCAACCGGAAGACTCAGAAATGACAAAGTCATTCTACGGTCTTGCTCAGATGACCTCTACTTATCGCAACCACAAGATCATCTACCATCCTGGAGGAATGCCTGGACAGCGCTCTGCCTTCATCAGGCTCCCTGATGAGATGCTAGGAGTTGCCATCATGTGCAATGATGATGATCTTGGTGACCTGTTCAATGAAGTGGCAAAGTGGAGGATCATTGATGATCTGTTGGGACTTGGTCCAGTTGACTTCAAGACTAGGTGAGTATACACAATAACGCAGTGTGACTAATAGCTGATTTGTTTTGGTGATCAGGAGGATGAACAAGTTCCTGGATGACCACAAACCCAAGCTTCCCAAAAGGAAGCCTGGAAACCCCAAGCCCCCTACCAACGGATTCGAAGCCATTGCTGGGCGCTATCATGACGCAGGATATGGTGACATTGAGCTACATCCCCTCATCACTGCCCGGAATGCTGGTGAATCGGCCTGGTCCTTCACCACCAAGTTTGACAAGATCTTTTGCAAGGAGCTCCTGTTCGAGCATTTTGATGGTGACATTTTTTATGTGACAGCCAAGATCACTTTTGAAACAGGTGCTGTCATTTGGGACATGACTGGTCAAGGCATCCAAGCTCATTTTGGAGAAGGTGGAGTGGGACTTCAGCACATCTGGGGGGAGGGTCTTCCAGATGGCAACATGGAGAGGGATGGCATCAGGAAGGGATCCGAGGTGTTCTTTGTCAAGGTTTCTTGAGACAATCTGTACAGATATAACGAGACAAAATGGTAGATCAATGCATACAGGCCCGACAAGTCTACCTCATGCCGGGGAGCGGGTAGACCACGCTTTGCTTGTTTGCTCTTCCATCTTGTTGCAATGATATAACACAGCTGTAGAATTTGACTGTGAAACCCTGATACCGATGAGACATAGCCTGGTTGTTGCCCCACCAAGACCCAATTCCTGTAACGTTGGCTGTAGCAAGCATATATCGGGCATCTGCAGCGTTTCTGAACCCCACAGCGATCATCAACGGATAGGCTTGGCTGGTCATCTATGCGGCGTTGTCAAACATGCTGCCAATGTGAGCAGCGATCCTTGACAGGAACGTTTGGCCAACATCATATTGGCAAAATTTGATGTGCTGCACAAGCGCCATCGACAGGGTCCGCATGAAATAAGGGTAGGGCCTGGATCCAAACCAGTAAAGGTGACAGAGCCCATGCCACATGTCATCCCTGTTGGTGTAAGATCCGTCAAGGTCAAGTCTTGCGGATTCAAGGGAATGGTCAAAGAAGACACCTTGGGAATAGTCGACGAGGATGGGTGGCAAGGTTTTTGAGCAGTCGACGACAATGGGGCGGAAGACGTCTGAACGGTCGATGAAATTCGGGCCAAAGGTTCCCTCTTCCTTTTGGACAAGGAAGTTTCCTGGCCAGAAGGTCTGCGCAGGGGGGCGGGACAAGGGAGGATTCATATAACAGTCTACCCAACGGTTGACATCACCACGTTGCTATCGACATCGTCGCGCTGCAGCGAGTGCCTGCCGCGATGCGCCGCAAGAATCCCGCCAAAATCAAGAAATGTCACCCCGCTCATAACGCCGTGGTGGTGACCGTGTAGGCCTTACATAATGGTTAAGAACATTCGATCTTCTCAAGACATCTGCCATCTATCAGATACAGTGACGCCTGCGTCATTTGAATCCCGATCGCGAGACCCCCCGCCCGAAGCCGGAGTGCACAACCTTGACTCTACCAAATGTCTCACTGCACGCTCCTCTCGAGAGCGCTGCGTCCCGTTCCACCTCGAAGACCCAAACCCTGCTCGTACCGAGACACCTCTCCCTTATCCGTAAACCGGTAGAGTGAGCAAGAACAAAGAGACGGCCCGGTAAGTATTGAGGGGAGATAGGGCTAGACTATCGAGCGGTGCCGATATGGGCTGATCGATTTCGGCCACGTGCTGCAGAAGGGCTGAGGGTGAAGATGAAGAGTGAGCTGAAGCTTGTAAGTGACATCGCTCTGGATTGACAAGTATTCTCGTGATCAGTCGTCCTGACTTGTGGAGTTGAAAGAGCTAGCTGCCCGACTGACCAATTTCCCCATTGTGACGATCAAATTGCGTAGTATCCGAAGAACGGTCTATGTTCAATCAAGTCAAGCGTGCGAAACCAACATCAGCCAACGATCTAGTGTCAAAGGATGACTAGCTCATGGCTTTAACTCACCTCGACTTCAAAGCTCAAACCTATCTAATGTCTTTCTAAAAGTACCAATCGACGTAATGGTTCGGAATGGCGCTCGTCACATCCTTTCCCTCTGTCAGCGCTTCTTCCCATCCTTCCCGATGAGCTAGATAGACGTCAAATGCCGCTTTGGCATCTTCCACCTGTTATATCAAGATCGGCGAGTCAGGCTGAGCCACGTTCCCAAATCACAAGTAGGAAGACCGAAAACGAGCCGTTTGGCTTACCGGAGAATGCCCTTCATCTCCCATCTGTATATCCCGCCCCAAAACATCCTTTGCGACCTTGACCAAGGCCGGGTCTTGGCCCTCTTTAAGGACCTGCATGCGGTGGCGGATAGGATAGTAAAGCGCTGTATCTCGGGTTCGTTCGACGGGGAGTCTGATCTTCAGGGCCTATTGACGGGATGAGGTGTTTTGATATGGGGGTGGAAGCGAACGTGTGGGGGAGATAGTGAGAAAGGGCAAAAAAGGAGGGTTGTCAGCCAGCCTGGTCAGACAGGGAGGAAGGAAGAAGAAAGGGTGGGAGAAACAAAAGAGGTAGAGATAGACGGGCTGGTAGGACTTACGGCGAGGTCGTTGAACAGCGCATGACCGATGACGATCTTCCCCCTGATGACTTCTCTGACTTTCGCCTGGACGTCCTCGAATTTCGGTGCTATACTTCGTTATCAGCGAGAATACGAAGGTGCATTTGATCAGTATACATTATCATTGCCAGTGACCGTAATCGGTGCGTAAATTGACGGATTTCAAAAGGACCCGTAAAACAGGAACCGGACCTACCGTCGACCAGATCCGACGCTCTCACCCCCGAAGACTTCGTACAATAATCCTCCACGCAATCCGGATGTACGTGTACGAACGACTCGTAGACCACCTTCCCATCGTGATTGACCACGGCCACTCTGGCCAGAGCGATGTTTTCCGATGCGAATCCTTGTTTGGTGGTGATGACCATTTCGCAGTCGATGGCAACGTAGTCGCTCAGGGGTTTGGTCATGTTGGAGAACTACTAGCGGGATGACTGAAACGAGACATGGACATAGCCTGGAGATTGATATAAAGTTTAAGGAGCAAAGGAAGGGTTTGATGAAATAGAGGGTGTTGACACGGCCCAACAGGATGTGCAATGGTTATCGCATGCGATACTAACAGGTGCGATTTGACCCGAGACTCTCAGTCGACCATCCCTACGTCATCGCGCTCATTCCTATTCATCCCTCCCTTGCCATGTCTTAGTCGTTGATCGTTTATCGCACAAGGTGCAAGGTGCCTTCTTCAGTTCGACAGATACTAGCTTGACCGTTAATTAGCAGATAGCTAACTTCTAGTCTTGCCAATACTTACCATGCCTGTCGAATTGCGAGGCGGAGACGCTCTCGCCTTCGAGGAACAAGGCAGTCTGATGAGCGCTCGTTCCATCATGCCTCAACCCGTGAGCCGGGGCTCGCTCTCCCTATCAGACCCTTTGCTTTAGTTTGCTGATACATGTCTCATCCCTGGAACACATCTCAGAACACCGTCACCAAACTGGTCAAGCGTGTCCGTCTCATGATCCTCAAGCTGATCCCCGTCGAAGTCAACCTGGAAGATATCACCGATGCGACGAGCTCGATCGTCTCGCCAGGGGTGGTCGCCGCTTTCGCCCAAGCCGGGGGTGATTTTAGCGAAGCTGTGCCTTTTGCGCTGATGCAAGCTAGAGCTCAGTTTTTGAAGGAAGCAAGGCAGTCCCGTAGGTCTTTCGTGAGCTTGATGTACCGTCACGGCTGAGACCGACTTATCGTAACGTCCTCTCGTTTCAGCTGCGGATTATGATGAGAACATGTGCCGCTCGACTACCGCCGAGGTCATTGCTAGACGGCTGGTACGTACACCACTTCATTAAAAACCTGATGGCGCCCGCTCATCACCTCATTATGTCCCTCATGTTCAGGTCCACACCTTGTCCTTCGAGAAACAGACGAGCGTCATGTCGACCCGTTACCGTTACGTAGAATCCGACGGGGACATCTCCGCTCCAGCCTCAGCTCTCGAAGTGGCCATCGACCAGTTCGCCATCCAATTCCTGAGCTCGTCCGAGGCTGAGAACGTCGTCAACGCCCTCTGGAGGGGTCAATTGGTAGCCGAGTACGGGGACAACGACAATATCGAATACGTCCCGTTCGATAAGGACGGTTCGGCTAGCTTCTGGGATCATCTGAATGTTCATCGTCTTCAGGTACCTCGGTACCAGAACGTGAGTATAGTATCCCCTCCTTTCACCCGCTACACCTTCGCCTATACTAGTACGCTTACCTGCATTTACATTACTACCTGACCTTTCTCTGCCTACAAGATGTTCTCCATCGCCACCTGGCTGTTCTTCCTCTTCATCTACTCTCAGGCCGTCCAAACTCCTCTAGACAGCCAGGACGAGAAACACTTGTCCGAGTGGGAGTGGATCTTGTACATCCTGACCGTCTCGTTCTTCCTCGATGGTAAGTACGAGAAGGGGCGGTTCATACATACGGCCGGTCAATTTTGCACAGGGCTGTTGAGCTGATCCCGGTCTGGCTATATATATCTCGCAGGTGCCAACAAAGTAAGTTTCTGATGGCTGCATCGGCTGTGACTTCGGCTGACGGGACAAAACACGGCGATAATTCAGCTGTATAAGCGAATCCGTCTGAGTTCCAATCCGGGTGCCGCTTTCAGCTTCTGGGTGGTCGGTGAGCCTGCTCGACTTTTCCCCGTCAAGCTTCAATCATCCTGCATTCCGCTGATCCGAATTACCTGGCTGCATCGCAGTCGACCTGATCATCCAGTCTACTCTCATGGCCGCACTTGGCTTGCGCTTGGCTGCCATCTTCACCAAGAATCCTGAACAGACTACATACCTCCACCTAAGATCTTTCCAGGTCTTGAGTATGTGCGCGCCTTTGATCTGGATCAGTAAGTCGATTGCAGTGGAGATCGATGTGCCATGCGAATACACGCTGACATAGTGCAATGTGTTTAGAGTTGATCACGGTCTTCGACTATATCAAGTAGGTTGAGATCGCCTGGGATGGCCGGGAAATGATGGTTGTAAAGCTGAACTCCCGGGGTATAGGTTCATCGGTACCATGCAGATCATCGTCTTCCGGTAAGCCGCCATGCGGTCCGGATCTGGGCATTGTATGGAACCCAGCTGATGTTCAGTGATTTGGACTGATAGAATGCTGCGGGACTCGGCGATCTTCGGAGTCCTATTGGCCATCTCCTCGATCGGTTTCTTGCAGGCATTGTGAGTACGCTGTCAGTGTAAGTGTTGGTCACAGCATGGTCCTGACTCTGGCGGCCGTTTGTTAGATACGCCTTGGACGCTGCAGATGGAGAGACCGCCGAAGTGGGAGTGATCTTCAATTCGCTAGCTCAAGCTTTGCTAGGGTATGGCATTCGTGAAGCCTAGTTCGACTCGAACTTGGGCTACGATGACTTATGCCTTGTCCGCCTTTGCAGCTCGCCAGACTTTGACACGCCCTCTGAACGATGTGAGTAGGATGGGAGTTGCGATCACCGCATGGGAAAGGGTTTGACCGAACCGCTATCCTATACAATCGTCTTTAACGACAGTTGGCTACCGTGAGTTACGGTTGGATCTTATCAGAGCCTGCGATCTATACTCACGACCTTCGCTATGTTGCTACTATTCTAGCTTTCGGTCTCATCATCTACTAGTAAGTCTCAAGAATATCGGTCCTGCGGGGGAGCCTGCACTGACGCTGGTGTTTTGATACTTCTTTAGCGGCTGGTATGATACCCTCACTGGAGGTTTTTGAGTTCGCCGATCCTAAAAGCTTGTCTTCGTTGCCAGGAACGTCGTCGGAACTGTCATCCTCCTCAACATCTTGATCGCCTTGTACAACGATTCCTTCAGCAGGATCGAGGAAGAGGCCACGGGTAAGTCGTTAGCAGGAGGTGGTATTGTTTAGCATACACGCTGAATTCCTTTTTATGTAGATTACCACATGGCATTCTTTGCCGGGAAATGCGTGAGTCTGCGCTCAAGCGCGGTAGCTCTTCTTGTCCTGAAACATTGTCTCCCTTCTTCGCCGGATTCCAGATCAGTATGAGTGAGTCCATGTGTGACAACTGCATCAACATGATATCGGATTCTGACGAGCATGGGTTTCGACAGTTCGAGGACCGGATCTTTTCTACTATCCGCCGCCGCTGAACCTAGTCGAGTTCTTCATCGCTCCGCTCGAGTGAGTCGTCCAGGCAGCATATCCAGGCACAAAGAATGCGTAGCTAACGATCGATGTTGCACGCACTCCAGCTGGCTCCTCTCGAAACAAGCCTATGCTAGCCTCAATAGGGGTATCATGAGCATCCTGTTCGCCTTGCCACTCGCAGGACTGGCGATTTTCGAATCTCAGATGAATGTCAAGCATAGTCGTCGTATGAGGATCCTCTTGGGCAAGGATCACACCGACAACGACGGCGAGGAGGACGATGAGAGCGCTCAGAACCCCGAGTGCGAGGATGATGATGAAGGCAAGATTTGCAAGCGCGAGTTTGCCGACCTCGTCAAGGACTTTCCAGAGTGAGTAATTCGCAATCGACGAGCGATGAAGCGGGGACTGACTTCGACACGTTTGCTTCGTCCTCTCAGCACTGCGATTTCAAGTTCCGGTGCAATCCAAGCTCAACTAAGCGACATGCAGAAACAAATAGCGAAACTCGAATCGCTACTCAAGGCTCAATCCAACTCAAAGAGCGAGCAATGAGCTTTACACGAGAGCGGCTCATCTCCACGAACCGATACATCGCCCCAGGGATCAGTTATAGACTTTTCCAATGTCAGAGACGTTTTGAGCTGATACTGTCGATCATTCGAGATTCAACTCTCGTTGTAGACGTTATTGCTACTATTTGCCAAAGATCCATTCGCATACCCCTGCATTACTTTGATTCTGATGCTCGGCTCTTTGTGATGCAGCATCTATCTCGAGCACATCACAACATGTGTCGAAGCCTGAAGCCACTCTGCTATCAGCCTCAAGAGATGCGACGACGTTGTCCCCGTCGGTGATTGCATCATCAGACGATGGCTTACCACACCTATCCCTGTGCGCGTGAAGGCCTAGGCAAGGCAAACGGGTCGACCACGCGTCAGCTTAATTCTATGCTAGCGACCGCTTTGTGGGCCTCGCGCGATCCCACTCGCAAATTTGGTCAGATACGTGTCGCCTTTGAGTCTTTTGTTTACAATTGCTCGCTTATTCTCTTCCCGCACGTAAAACCTGTTTCCCGCAGAAAAACAGCTCTTTTGTCCTCCCTGTTAAACTACTCAAGTGCTTCTCGCATCACAGATCACGGTGTTTCAGTTCATTCGACGTCTGACATTCTTTTGTACATACGTTCATGTGCTTTGTTTGTCTCGTCCTGCAAGTCAAAACCTATCTTAACCTTCCTTCTCTCGCAGTATATAACACTGCAGACCACAAACAAGCATTATTTTTTCTACTGTTTTTGCGCGAGAAACACTCCATAACTATCTATCTCCTTCTTCCATTTACACTTACTCCTCCCGCTTGTTCACTCTCGTGCACTACCAATTTGAACGGCATGAACTCCACTCTTGGTAAGCATATCAAGCCTGTTCCCCTCCAACGCTAGCTCCAGCATGTCATCTTCTGCACGTGTGTGTTCAACACTGTCTCATCGTCGTTCACAGCTCCGGAGAACCCGCCTACCCCACCTTCCACCCAAAAGCCCCTTTTTGATTCCCGCACAGGGCCAGGCTCAGTTCCCGTCACTCCCACCGGCGACAACAAGCAGCGATCTCTCCTCGATTTCATGTCCAGATCTTCTAGTCGTACTCCCAAGCCGGACGGCTCTGCAGCGAGGTTGACTCCTCTTCGAACGGGTCGAACTGAGCCGGATCCCGATCGCAGCAAGGACGGATCCCGCAGTCCCTCCTCGCACTCCCAGAAGAATGCCAACAGTGAGCTCCCATCCCTCTCGTTCCCCTGCGTTGTGTCGCCTGATCATTCGTCATGTTCAGCCGCTGCACCACCAGCTCAAGGGACTTCCCCGACCCCAGTTCCCGCTGCTTTAAAACCCGCCCGGAGCACAACCCCGACTGCGCCTCCACCAACGCTGATCGGGTACGACTATCCCGACTCTGACCTGCAAGTCGTTCACAACTCCCTCTTGCGGTCAATCAGGGAGGCCAACAAGCAGCCTGCTCCTAGGGTGGATGCGGTCCGCCAGATTCAATGGGAGCTGCCCTCAATTCCCGCTGCAATCGCTTCGACCGCTGGAGAGTCCGAGGCTCAGGACTCTTCTTCCGCCCTTCCCCCTCTGCCGGATCACGATAACGCTGGCCGAGCGTATCTACCTCCTTCTGCACTGTTTGGTGCTATGGCATCTTCTATCGTTCGGGAATGGGTAGGTTCTTCTTCTTGCCCATGCTCAGCAATAGCTGAGCGATTTGACCTAATTGGGTTTCCCGCAGGCACACCGTCTCATCACTGGTTGCTTCGAACCCGAAAGCAACGCAACCACCCTCTCGACACATGAGTTGTGTCCTTGCCCAGACGTGACGAGACCTCCGGTATGGTATCAGACTACTCCCAGCGCTATCCGTATACCCGGCAACCCCCCGATCTACAGATATTTCAGAAACGGCAAATGGCTAAACGACCAAGCCATCGACGCCTATCTCACCCTCATCCATTGGCGCCAATCCACATTCCATCAACTCGACAACGGCCTAGTCCCCGTTTTTATTCACTCTACTCAACCATCACCGTTCATAGCACAACGGCACGCCACGGGACTCAACGAGTCTCCCCCTATGGCCAAGTGGTTTCAGCGGGTCAGTCCTGTCACCCTCTCGTTTCTTGCCGCTTCCAATCCTTCTCGCTGATTTCTTTCCCCTTCTTCTAGGCCAACCTCGACCCGTTCGACTACCAATTCCACGCTTTGCCGTGGAATATAGACAACCGCCATTGGTTCGCGGTCATCGTTGACATCCCCTCGAAGCACATTGCGATTCTAGATTCACTATCAGGATTGCACGCGAGGGATGTCGAATCAATTCCCGCCGAGCAAGACGTTTCTGGCGACCCTGCTGCTCTGTTGGCCCGTAACGTGTTTCAAGTACGAACCTCTCGAATCTCTCTCCCATCTCGAGTCCTTGTTGACGTCTACTCCCTACAGGCGGTTGGGACTTGGCTGTCGGAGCTACATCTCATCTTCCGAGGTGAAGCTTTGCGACCAAACGAGTGGGACTGTCTCGTTCCAGTAAGTTGCACTTTCGTCTTCCCGCTTGGCAATGATACTCAAATAGTACCTGCTCGTTCTGCCTCAGCCGGTTCCTCAGCAAAAGGACAGTTCGAGTTGCGGTATTTTCATGCTCCAACACATCGAAGCGATCTGTCGTATACACGATCTCGGAGCTGTGTCTCGGCAGCCTTTGATTTCCCCAAACCGGTCTGTAATGGCCCTCGAGCTGGCACAGCAGCGTCTGTTGAAACGTGTTCCCGCCAACAAATATTGACCTAGCTCGCCTTCGTACCAAGATTGTACAGCCGTGTTGTAGTTTGCATCGTCGTTCTCTACGCCGTATAATGTCTTATAGATCTTATGGCATGTCCACTTTCCTTAGCATGTTTGTTCAGGGAGTTTGATTCCCGCCGTTTTGTCGCTTTTCCCGCTCGGGCATTGTAGCTTAATAAATCAATAGCATGCCGCGCGTTCATACAAAACTGCGTGTGCACCAAAAATGTCCAATAAGTGTACAACATACAATCCTTTCTTCCACCCTGCCACCTCCTTTATACGACTAGTCCGTTTACCAATAGTCCTGTCCTATACCCGCCAGGTTCGTATTGGGCCAACTAATCATGTCTGATCCTGCTACAACACTCCCTACCACACCAACAAGGAAGCGTCGACGGCGACTCAGCGATGACCTCGCTTCAACTTGGGTCGTCCCCGCAACACCCTCTCGTCCAACCAAACCCCGTGTAGATTACCACCCAAAAGCGTCTATGCTGAGCAACCGATGGTATCAAGGCAAGATCCTGTCCTTCCAGGGTTTCCGCCCTAACGGTACACAGAACGCTGGACCCTCCGCCACCAGGCCTCAAGTAACCAGCGATCTTTCAAACAACCCGTTTCTGGGGAGTGACCTGTTCGACGGCTTCGAATCTCAATTCTCGCAACACCCTGAAACGCATGCGTACGAGGATCTTCTCAAGGAGCTCAATGACATGGTGGTGCAAGAGCCTACAACTTCGTGAGCCGGCGAGTCGCTTGACCTTTTTTAGTGACTCTGTTTGATGTCGAAATCCTACAAACCTAGAACATACCTCAGCGAGAAGAAACAAGAACAGCTCACCCTGGAACACCTCCTTCCTGCTCTGGTCATACAGTTCTACAAGTATCGGTACCGTCCACGATCTCTCCCGCCCCCAAGTTGGCCGAACCAAAATTGTTCTGTGGATTTAGCCCTTATTGATGTATTCTGTGGGTCTCTGGGACTGAACAGCGCGGACATTGGTCAGAAGAATTTCCCGCTGATACCTTCGCCCCCCCTAATGAACTCTCTGCAGCTTACGAGACCGTCCAATATCCCCATTCCACCTGGCACGCCTCCCCCATCGGTGTTGCCGCGCACATCATTGCACAAGGGTATATTCCCTCCAAGCTGGAGCGACCTTCAGTCGCCTTCAGCACACGTACCGTCGAATTCTACCACATTCAATTCCGTCACGCTCAGACATCTCGGATGGCTTTCGTACGCTCGCTTTGTGACTACAATCAGGTTCGTCCTGGCTATGACACAACATCCATGGGGTCTCACCCTGTTTTGCCTTGCAGCTCCCATATTCCGAGAGTCTGCGGGAAAGGTTCAGCTTTGCTGTCGATCTCTATGATCGAATCAGTCAGTTCATGTCAAGCTATAACCGCCCCAACTCAACCGCAAAGGCTTTTCCTGAAGATGAACCTCCTCCACAGCGTCAAGAGGGCCCGCCGCCAACTGGTCAATGTCACGATACCAGCAGCACCCGTGCAACCCCCATCACTATACCAAGCCTCCATCCCCAACTTCCACCGCTCCAAACTACTGCGTGTCCACTTTGCTTTCCTGCCAAAGGCCAAGCGGGAAACGACGACTATGTTGTCTGCGTTGCTATGGACGGCAACAACTCATTGAAACGCAGGGACAGAAGCACAGAATCTTACCAAGACCACGCCTCTCGCTATCGTTTGCCATGGGGCTTCGTCAACAAGTTCTCCGATCAAACCATTACCGCTCAAAGGGGACAACGACGCTCGAGCCCTGCACCCGCAAATTTTCAAGGGGGCTGTTCGTCACATTGGAAGGCTGCTCAAGAGAGGCCGCGGGCCAGTCAACGGTATTCTGAAACCGGCTGGTTCCCGCTGGTATGTAGGCATGGCATTGTCCTCGCCTACACTGACATGATTAAGGAGTACGAGAACTCCAAGTTCCCGCTGGCACTTGTTCACTGGTTTGCCACTCAGTATCCTGGTCGGATCATATTCGGCTACGATATTGGGTGCTCCTTCGACAAGACGTTTCGTCACGCACCAGCCCTCTCACACCTGGCTGGTCCGGACCGCACCGATTCCCGCATACAATTTCGTAAGTCTGACTGTTACTACACAAACCAGTGCTTGCCATTGAATCGTCGCTGCTTCCGCGTGAATTCGATTCTGACAGAGGTCGGTGCTTGGCATGGCTATGCGCATCAACGTCCCTGTCAAGTCAGTTACCACCCCCGCTTGACCGCCCAAGCCGGTCTCGAGGATTTCGAGACGTGTGAGCGCTTGTTCTCGTTCACAAATGGTGTCGCTGGTGTCACGCGTAGCGCGACTCGCTTCCATCGGCATCAACAACTGGAATGGGTCATAGAACAGTGTAACAA